TATGTTGTTTGTTTGTTTGTCGTTGTTGTTTTGGGAGGGGGGGGGCATGGGAGAACTCGGTCCCGGTTACCACCCGGCCGAAGCTTAGTGACCGGATACCCGAACCCGGTATTCGGCCACTTTTTTACTACCCGTGCATCCCCACTAAGAATTAAACTGTGACGTCATGTAAATGGGTACCGTCATTCCGACATCAATTTATCATCAAAATACAAACCTGTAATAAATAAACAATGTAATCATACTAAACCTAATTAAAATCCCTTAACTCACGTCAGTTGGCGGAGTGTTCTTTTTACAAGCAACAAGTAGAAAGTATGATTAAACTTCGAATTCGTTCCCAGTTCTAAAAGTTAATACTTTTAATAAATGTTTTCTACACTTTGTGATTTAAAAGTAAAGATGGAGCTCTCGACAACATTCTTGTTTCATGAGCAAATGTGGTTTTTTATTTATCATTATTATGCTTTAAAAGTGAAGAAAATTTCAGAGCAACCACCGGTCACAGTTTTTAAAAAATCTCATGACTTCTTGTTCGAACAGAAGCAGCAGAAGGAATATAATAACACCTTTGGCCAAATTAGGTAATATTGAATATTTTAATTCAGTGTTACCAGCACTCGCCGCCTATACGGCTATTAGTAACCGAACGACGGAATTAACTGTCACTGTTATAATACTTTCACAGCTGAAAGTGGATTTAGCAGCTCGAACCTCAGACCTTCCGATACGAAGCCCGAAACGCTTGACACTGAACAAGGAAACGATGGCGGTGGTTTGTAACATATTTAGAAACATTCACTTGCAGTCTTCTCCTGATAGAGATAGCCTCAAACACACATTATTGCATATTTCACCTTTTCGAGCGGCGATTCGCGAAGCTTCTTGTTTTCTTCGCCTTCCGTGCCCACGTACACAATGTTATAGTGACGTCACATATCATATGAGAATGCAAGGTTGTAGTTACCAGAGTTTTGTACACGCGGAGTGGAGCGGCGCGCGTCACGGTAGTTGAGCCAGTGCAGTCGTTCGGACAGTTCGGGGCCCCATTCCAGCTCAGGTTTTAGTTGATACTGTAGTCGCTGTAACATCAAGCAAACACAAACATTGAAATAAATTACACTTTCTGCTTTCTCATTATTATCAGCTGAGAAGAAATAAAATATACATTTTTGGTTGTAGAGCTTCTGATACACGGCAAAATCCAGGAGTATCGCCAAGGGTGGGTGGGTAAACGAACACCCTTTGGAGCCACAAATAAATATCAATTCCACAAGCCACAATAATACAACTTGCAGGCAGACCCTATATTCTTAGCTCACCCATAACGTGCTGAAACAGACTGAATGGTCCCGTTAGGCAGCGTAACGTGAATAGACAGTAATGGTTTGTTTACGCCTACATATTCCTAGTGAAACAGACTGAACGGTCCCGTTTCCCAGCGTCAGGTGAACAGCCAGTAATGGTTTGTTTACGCCTACATATTCCTAGTGAAACAGACTGAACGGTCCCGTTTCCCAGCGTCAGGTGAACAGCCAGTAATGGTTTGTTTACACCTACATATTCCTAGTGAAACAGACTGAACGGT